TCCCTTGTTTTCAGATTCCAAGGTACGAGGGGATATGGTGGAGGCATTGAAAGCCAAGGACAAAAAACCCGAGGTCTCCCTCTGCAGGACACACCAGGCTTCAGCGTGGGCAATAAAAGCGTCCACATCAACTTCATTCTTCGCCAGGATCTCTCTGATCTGGCTCCATGAACTCCAGACTAGAATTTCTCCAGAGGAGGTAAGGGTCCATCAGGACGTAACCAGCTTCGGGCGGCCTTTGAATATATGGCAGACATGTCTCTTCAAGCGGCCAGATTCTCGGCCCGTGCCATAGCCTCCAACGTCGCCGCACATAGGTTATTTTGGCTCAGGAATTGGAGGGTTGATACCAAACACAAATGGCGAGTGGCTGCCGCTCTGTATCAGAGCAGATGCCTCTTTGGGGAGGCCCTCACCCCCTACCTAGTAGAAAATAGAGAAACAGAGGGTACTTTACCATCTCTCCAGGAGGTCGGGCCAACGCTTCTTTCCGTATGGCCGCCGTCCTGTCTTTCGGTCAGGACCAGATCCGGTATCGGGACACATCTCTCGGCCCTTTCTGGCAGGATCAGACCATTCTTTGGACCGGTCCGGTTACAGAGACAGATCCAGACAACAGGTTCAGACCAAGCGTCCCTTTCAAGGTAGGGGAGGCCGCCCTTTCCGTAGATCAAAGTGACTCGGGGTGGACCCCTCCCATAGGTGGCAGACTAACTTACTTTACACACCAATGGGAGACCACTACCACCATCAGAGACAGCTATCTCGAGTTCGTGACAAAACCTCCACATTATATTGCCTGTCCCCCGTTAAGGAATCCTCAAAAAAAGAGACTCATGCAGGATGCCATTCAACACCTGTTAAGCATAAGGGCCATAGAGAGAGTGACAACAGACCAACTAGGACAGGGCTTCTACTCCATCTTTTTCGTTGTCCCGAAGGCTTCGGGGGGGCTGGAGGGCGATACTTGACCTCAAAGGTCTAAATTCCCACCTATCGTATCGCAAATTCAAAATGCAAACACTCCAGTCCATTCTGGCCAGCATCCAACGGGGAGACTTCATGACATCAATAGATTTTACGGAGGCATACCTACACATCTCCATTCCCCCGGATTACAGATGATTTCTCAGATTCAGTCATTCCAACAAGCACTATCAATACAAGGCGCTGCCATTCGGCCTCTCATCTGCTCCCAGGATTTCCACCAAGGTCCTGGTGGTACTCGCAGCTCATCTTAGATCAGTACCGATCCACGTTCAATGTTACTTGGACGACATTATAAGCTCAATAAGTTTGCTTCCGCGGAGGCTTCCTTTGGCCGCTGGGTGTTACAGCAGGTAGTGGCGTCAACGTCAATACAGGCCCAGTCTGCTTCCCACCCATAGGGACAGATGGGCTTTGGTACGTCCCATTCGTGGATTCTCCATTCTTTCATGCTGGAGAATGGGGCGTTGTCTTACCTGAATGCCTTTTCTCAGCATGATGAATGGAAAATCCACCTCCATCCCTTAATCCGCAGTCAGGTCCAGTTTCAGGGAGCCAGCACGTCGTACAGTCGTTAGCTTCGCCCTATTCAAAACTGGGGCGTGACCTAGTCCAGCACGGGTGTGGCAACTTGACTGATTTGGTCTGATTGGGCTAGAGGACACACTTAACCCATTCATGGATTCTCCATTCATCCTGCTGAGAAAAGGCGTTCAGGTGAGACAACGCCCCTTCTCACTTTATAGCAAATTGCCTGAAAGTGCATCTTGGGTTGTATTAATAAATGGAGACCATGTGTTACCTTAAGGAATGTATTTTCTAAACTGAAATGAAATAGCCTGCAACTAAGGAAAGTATATATGTAGATTTCTAGTAAATAAACGGTTTTTTTGTTTTTGTTTTTTACTTTTTCAAAGTTTATGTAACTACTGTAAGAAGTCAGGAAACCATCTTGTTAACAATTATTCTTCCCTGTATTTTTTACATTGTAATTTTAGCAGCCTTTTTTTCTCAATTACTCAAGGCAGACTTTAAGTTAATGCATTTGTATAGTTCTTGTGCCTCTCTTCTGAGCTGATGAGATTGCTTCCAGAGTATTTTTTAGGAATGCTAATTGGACACAAGGGCCCCCTTTTAAATAAGGATTGTGATGAAGCTTTGCAATATGCCAGCTTTCTACTTCATAAAAAATCTTTTAATTTAAAATAAATGGGTCAAAACATAGGATGTGTCAACAAACCATGTCGACAAATCTCATGTTGGGAATTCAGCCTATATCTTAATTCTGTATAGGCATGTAAATGAATAAATACCTGTCTATTCAGATCTTTAAAAAATAGCATTTCCCCTTAGAACCATATGATCAAAATAAATTCTGAACTCTATGGTCAAGCATTAGGGTTACCTCTTAATTAAGATATTACTAAAAGCAAGTGATCGGAGAAGATTATCTGAGTTTAGGCTGAAGATGTTAAAGCTGCTTAATTAGAGGGTTAAGATTCAGTGAAAGGAAACTGCATATCTCTGTTTTCTGCTAGGTATAATGTTCAGATCATCTACTAAGCTCTGGGCTATGAAATGTGTCTTCAGTTCATAAAAGAATAAGAGAAACCATTTTTGTACAGTTTTAGGCAGTTTTTAAAATTACAAAGTAATTGTTTAATCCTAGGTTATACAGTAGATCTGCAAGAGGAAATGTATTTTTTTTCAATTTTATTAAAATTATCATAATATAATACAGAGGGAAATATTGAATATGCAGACATTGAAATACACAATAGTTGACATGTTCAGCTCTGTTCCTAGTTTTGGTTATCATGACCAAGTGTCAATTTGAACTTGATTAGTTGGTTCATGGAGATACTAATGATCAGTCTGTGTTAGTGTGTTTAAAGTAAAACAAAATTTTAAAATGCTAGTCTTACAAAATAGTTTCTTCGGATTATCACTCTTAATAGGACCTCGCAACTAGACTACTCTTTTAGGGCAGATAGCCAACTTCCAAACCAAAAAAAAAAAAAAAAAAAAAACCCACTGGTTAATAGCTGCTTTTAAAAGCCTATAGATCAGTGGTTCTCAACCTGTGGAGTTGAACAACCATTTCACAGGGGTCGCCAAACAACGCAGTCCGCCATTTTTTCCCCCTTTTCCTTAGCTGTGTTACTCCCTTTTATTCTATTGGCTTTTGAAAGCCAATAGAATAGACTCTCTTGAATAGAGTCTAATTCTATTGGCTTTCAAAAGCCAACAGGAATTGTCCAGGCTGTCTCTGCCCTGCTGAGCCCGCCAAAAGTCCCATTCTGCAAACGGTGCTGCACCAGTTGAGTAGTCCTCGACTTACAACCGGTTGAGTAGTTGGGGGGGTCGCAGCATTAAAAAGGTTGAGAACCACTGCTATAGATCCATTTGGAACCCAGTGCATTATTTGAAACAAAATTAGGAAGCTGATACTTTGTTTTACAGTATGTTTTTTGAAGTCCAGATGGAAGAAGTTAGGTGAATAATTTAACTTCCTGGGCCCTGCTTCCTTCGGTGTTTCCTATTGTTGATGACTACCTCTAATGGCTGTATTTTTATATGCAGGTTGTACCAAAGATCAAGCCTCATAGGCCAATTACAAAGTTTTATTAATATTTTAGGGAAAATATTATTGTACTTAGAAATGTTCAGAGATCATGTATCAAATATATGTGTTTGGGAGAAAATTGCAGCCAGTTTGAATATTTAATATAATTTATATAATTTTTAATGAAGCCTGATTTTTGATGCAGTCTATGTATTCAGACCAACTGCTAGATTGCTAACTTGAGTTAGCTTTAGGAATGTTATTTTGATTTGTGCTACTATATTTACTTCTCATCCATGTGTAGACACAATCCAGAGTTGCCTTTTACTTTCCTTTTTAAAAGGAGGTTCCACAATTAGAGTTTGACTTACAACCATTGGAAATATGATGGTGCTGAACAAATAGTTACTATGGTCTTCAGAGTTCTTGCTGTCACACACGATCATGTGGTCACGTGATCACAGTCTGGGTGCTTGGAAACCAGTTTGCACTTAAAATCAGTTGCAGCATTTACAGTCTTCTCTGCTGGCTTGCTCACTGACTTTGGTTAGGAGAAGCTGGTGAGAAGTCACCTCATCTAATGACTGGGGGATTCATGCTTTACAACCACATTGCTTAGCAGCGGAAATTCTTGCTCCAGTTGCCATTGTAAATTAAGGGCTACCTGTACTGTATATGGCTTGCTGCTTTTAGATGTTGTTTATTCTTTGTATCTGCCAGTGCACAGAAACTACTAAACATTATTTCTGTTCTTTATTATTTCTGTCTTAAGAATTCAGATAATTAGTAATTAAGAATATAGTGTTCCAGTTTTGGACTGCTTTTACTTGTCTCTCCACTTCATAGTGTCAAAAAAAATCTTTTCTTCAACCATCATAAGTTTTAATATAATTTTAATATTCTACTGTACCTTGCCTCTGCTATTATGAAAAGTTCTAATTCATTCAAGAATTCCAAGATAGGGCCACGGAATTTAAAATATATTTTAGGTCAAGGTTGACATTCTTGAAAGAGAAGGAAAGCTTTTCTGTAAGAATATATGAATTTTCCTTGGTTTCATTAAGATTGCTTGAAAACTAAATTAAAATATAGTTCCCTAGCCTGTAGTGTACAGCCTAGTTTCCCAATAAGTGCCTAAGGTAAAATTAGTTGGCAAACAAGTGCTTCTGTTTCTCTTTGTACTATATCTACAAAAGTGTTTTCAGCAAAGAAAAGTATTTCAGACTTCCCTTGACTCATGAATGTGAAATGTTTGCAGTGTTTGGACCATTCCACAGTGCTTTAAATAATTATAGTTGCATTGTTATACATATAATTAGTTTATTGATGTGAAAACAAATTTGATTTTTTAAATAGCTGGTGCACAAAAGCATTTGTCTGGATTGATGCTTTGGAGGGGCAAGGGGCAGAAATAAGCAATTCTCTGAGAGTATTGTTTTTATTTCAGGAACTTAGTGATTTGGCTCGTGACCCACCAGCTCAGTGTTCTGCAGGCCCTGTTGGAGATGACAGTAAGTTGTTAATAATAAATACTGGTTCTTTTAAACAGGTCCTTGTAAACAATATGGTTTGTTCTTTGGGGGGGAGGAGAAAAACATTTAAATAACAGTTTTTCTTTTTTCTCTTCCCTTCTCAATCTGTCATTCAGTGTTTCATTGGCAAGCTACAATTATGGGTCCTGTAAGTACTTCAGTTTATTAACATTCATTCTAAAGTCAGCTATTCAAACGTTATTCCAAAAAACACATTATTGTTATGTTCTTTTTGTGGTATAAAGTTTACAGGTTTTGGCATGTTTTCATTGGACTACTTAATTTAAATTGTCCTGTTTTTCTCATTGTGCATACTTTAGAACAGTGGTTCCCAATCTTTTCTATACCCTGCATTCCTACAACGCTTCTGATATATTCTTGCACCCCTTACAAAAGTTCAAAACGAATTATGCATATGCACTATAATTTTGAAACTTCTAAACCCAAGTTTTCGCACCCCCTGGAATATCATCTCGCATCACCTGGGGGAGGGGGGGTGAGCACCCCTGCTTGGGAATCTCTGCTTTAGAATATGCTAATAGTATGATCTTTGATTTACAATTTTCATGGAAACACTTTTGTTTAAGATTTTTACTTCTTAAAAACACTTTATTTCAGTAAGATAGTTCCTCTATGTAACACTGTACCTGTGAAAAACCATATCATGGCTTCTTTTGTGGGCTTCATAATCATACTTTTTGTTTAAGAGATTTTATTCCTTATGGCAAGTTTGCACATCATGATAAAATAAACTATTGTGGCCAAAAATCAATATAATAGTACAGCTGAAACTGATATGTTGGCTAGATTTAATATTCATGAAACCGTATTGACGCCAGTAAAGGCGGTCCATAAATGTCATTGTTGTCTTCTATACTATGTCAGAACATGTAGCAATATTCTTGAACATTTCCAGGACTGTTTATGCAGAAGGAAATGTTGAAGTCAGCCTATCATCAGGTGCATCCCATTGTTAATATTGTCAAAGTGTGCTTTTTAAGTGTTAGTATATGAGTCATTTTGCTGCAGGTAGTTTTACTTTTAGTTAGCTACTATAATTCTTCAATGTCTCTTAAACTATAGTTCCTACAGAAATGTTTAACTTCTGAATTTTTTTCTTTGCCAGAATGACAGTCCATATCAAGGCGGTGTTTTCTTTCTGACAATTCATTTCCCCACAGACTACCCTTTCAAGCCACCTAAGGTAAGTAAAGATGGAAACTTAATTTAAAACATTGAATTTCTGCACGAATCGGCAAGTAATAGACTGTAACTATTGCTAAAGCATTTTGACTTGCCAAAAAGGCATAAAGAAATCACTTCTTCATATCTATACACTGACTTACCCTTTGGATTACAGATCTATTACATTCAAATAATTACAGAATTCCTTAAAATATATTTGCTTTATGATTGTAGCTGCAGTTACTGAACATGCTTTCAGGTCATTATAATATAGTTTGGTGACACATACAGATATTTGGGCTGTGATATACAATGTATTATGGGTTTTTTTTTTAAACATAGCCAATTTTCACTGTTTTAGACTAATGACACTTCCATATTCTTTGAGTCTGTCATGTGTAACATCATTGTGAATTTTTCCTACCAGCCTGAGAATAATAAAACATTGTAAAAATAGTTCTGGAAGTTGAAAATATATATATTTCCAAATGATAAAATTATAATGGTTTTATTTTGATACTTGCCCCAGAACTAAATAGCTCTCCCCTGCCCATGCAGTTTCAAGTAACAAACATAGAGAAAGGTGATGTGATATAGCATATATTAGATTTTACACTAACTCTGAATATATTTCTGAAGAAACTGACAGAAAGAGTGGTTTTTGTTAATTAGAAAAATAGCAGTTGTATAGAATTGAATTTGCATACCTTGTAAGTATTCCACTTGTAGAATTACATTTCAAGCTATGAATATAAAAAATTAAGTTTATATGAAGTCTACCAAGCAGACATTCTTCTCTTTGATACTGTTAAGCGGAATTGTGTATATTCTAAATATTGAGAACCAGTATTTTTAATCTGAAAAAATTCTGTATATTGATTACAGATTGATCTCAATTTTTTAGGTTGCATTTACAACACGAATTTATCATCCAAATATTAACAGTAATGGCAGCATTTGTCTTGACATTCTAAGGTCACAGTGGTCTCCTGCTTTAACTATTTCTAAAGGTAAGCATATTTGGATGAATATTGGCATTAGTGGATATTCTTGGGGTTTTTTGTATTTTGTTGACAAAAAGCAGCTTGAATGTATGCGTTTTATATTTAGACTATACAAAATTTGTCATTCCAGGAACAGAATATTCTAGAAAACTCCTGAATCTTTTGTTTCCTCCCAGATCATGTCATTCTAAGGGCAGATTAGCAAATTGAAATGATTCAAAGTATTCTGGTTGAAAGAGCTATGTTTTGGTTTTGGACCACCCATGGAATTATTCTGCTTCTAGATTGAAGAATTTATTTCGGTAATTCTGAATAGTCCCTGGAATTTGGTTTGAAAGGATTTGTTTTAGAGTATTACAGAATGATCCTTTCCTATACTGACAAATTTTGAAAATTCTTAATACTGTATGTACTAGGATTTGTATTACTTTCCTTTCTATTTTAGCATGATATTTGACTGTTATTTTGAGGCAATTACCCACCAGTACTTTTCCCAGCCATGCAATTGTCCCACAGATTTATCTCCATTTTCTCGGAAAAATATCCCAAAAATACTAATAGGAAGAGAGTAGCATAAAGTGTAATTCAGTTCAAGGTATTTAGCTTCAATTGATGCTTTGAAGTGTGCATTCACATGGTGAGACACTTGTGCCTTTTGAATTTTCACTTTCCCGTCATCATCATTGTTATTAATTTTATATAAGTGTTCCCTATTATCATTGATGTTAAAAACTGCCAGTCCCTGTTGAAATATAATATATCTCTAAGGGTTAAGGCTCAGTCATTAAAGAGAAGCTGAGTGGCTTCTTGCTAATTTTATTTTTTAGACTTATATGCCTTTAGATCAGACATGTCAAACTCACGACATCACATGACGTCCCGCTACGTATCGGAACTTTTTTCCCATTGCCAGCAATGGGGTGGGCACGGTTTTGCGATGATGCGTCTGGCCCATGGACCGGCAGTTTGACACCCCTGCTTTAGATTATCAAGAAGCCAAGACAAAGAAAGAGAAGAATCTTGTTTTGGCATACAGAGCAGTGAGTCATATGAGTTCAAACTCAAACTATTTTCAAACTCAAAACTATCAGACTATTCAGAATAGTATGGTGCAGGGATACATAGGGGCATAGCCAAACAAACTAAGTATAAGGTTTCTGGTGATCAAGTTAAGCTGTTTTTTTAAACTAGAGATAATCTTTTTGAAATAAAATAAATGGGACTGTATGTTCTACCTGCACATGCAGAAGTAAATAACTTGTTCTTTGAACTATTTACAATTTTCTATATGCTCTTTTCTATTTGTTTCAGTTCTCTTATCCATTTGTTCACTGTTATGTGATCCAAATCCAGATGATCCCCTAGTGCCAGAGATTGCGCGCATCTATAAAACAGACAGAGACAAGTAAGTATAACTTTGTCTTTTTTTTAAAAAATGATGGCTAAAGAACAGTAGAGTCATTGCTGCTGTTTAAAACAGAATTGGATAAAATATTCATGTTTTTTAATTTGGAAACTTCAGTAGCATGCTAGAATAGAATTTTTACACTGTACAAAATATTGACATTACTTTCAAGTTTAAAATTACTATGGAAAATTTATAAATGAGAACACTCTGGTAATAGTTTCGAGTTGAGGGAACAAAAGTTGTGCGCTACTTAGATAATTTAAATATTGCTTTCTGTTTCGAAGTAAACTAAAATTATCTATTAGTAGTTCTGCTTTGTGTTGGCAATTAAATCTGCCCAGATAAATTTAATAGGGCTCTATTGGCTTGTCTGTGTTACTAAATATACTTATCTAATTAGGTACAATAGGTTAGCAAGAGAGTGGACAGAGAAATACGCTATGCTGTAGGGTAAGACTGCACTTCATGGTGCATTAATGATGTGGGGACTTCAGCACTTGAGTGCAGCATGCTTAAGGCACTGGATTAACTAACAAAAGATTGTTCAAGTCACTGAAATACAAAGTTTTAACTGCTTGATTGTATTCAGCGTGGGAGGCCTATCTGCATGGCTAGATGAGAATAGTCAAATATTTAAAAGTTTTGTAGATATTTCTTGGTTCTGGAAAAATCACTTAGCTGGTAAGTATTTTCTATTCAGCACAAATGTGGCTCTACTTATAATTTAAATTATTTAGCAGATTAAATTCAGAAGTACAAAAGCCTATAGGCATGTATAGGTAGACACTAACATAATAACTGAGCATGTAAATTAGCACTGACTTGATTTCAGTGGAGTTCTGCACAGTTCTCTCACAATCCCTGCTTATGCGAGAGGCTGGCTATATTTAGTATCTAAGGGTTTGTGATGTTTGTGTGGAGTTTTGCTAGAAAGAATATCCACTTATACTTGCATATTACATTGTGATTTCTAATATGCAACACTGTGTATTTTTATATGCTATATCAAAATTGGCAGGTGAGCTTTGTCTAGAATCCACTCCAAAACTTGTAAAATTGTGGAAAAAATATTATATTGATGATTCTCACTCTTACCAACACTATCCAATGACCAAGTGAATACTGAAGTTGATACCAGTTAGTAGAATTGAATCATAGGAAATTATAGAGATAATGCACACCCAAGAATTCTGATTTCCTAGTTTTTATATTCTCTTTAAAACTTCCATTCAAATAAATTGAGTAATCTCATTCCAAAAAGCAAGACATAAAACTCTTGCTTTTTGGAAAGAGATTACTCAATTTATCCTAAAATTTTGAATAAGAACATTATGTACTAAGAAATCTACGTAAATTTTTAGTTAACTTTTTAAAATTTGAATTTATTGAAAGTTTTAAAGAGAATATAAAAACTTAATACAAATTATTATAGAATAAAACAAAAAGAAAAGACAAAAATTCAGAAAGAAAAAATGAAAAAAGAAGCTTCTAATTTCCTACCCTATGATTATAAAAAAAGGTTAGCTTCTATCCTTTTTTCCTAATCTTCAAAACATAAGTCATAAGTGCATTTTTTTCCTGTTTCATGCAAAAATCTGCAAGGGATTTCCACTCTACCATAAATATAGATACTGTCTTTTCTCTAATCAACAAAATTAGTTTTAGAATTTCTGCAAGCTCCATCAATGTCATAATCATTCCTCTCTTGTTTATGTGTTGAATATTCAAGCATATGATAATTTCGCTGCAGTTGTCATATAGGAAAATGAGATTTCACAGCAGTTCCAAATGGAAACCTCCACATGAGGTTTCCATCAGTTCCAAAAGGAAAAAAAAATCTGATTCAATTGTGCATTAATCTTTAAGAACTTCTGAATCAGTGCATTTATTTATATCCAGAAATTTTGGATTTTTTACGTGAATGCTTGATAAAACGCCCCTTCATGATGTTCACATTTCCAGAAAGCCAAGTAGATTTTCTTCATTGATAACCATTTTCATAATGATTTGAGGTGTTCCTGTTATTGACTTATATATTATTTCCATTTTAGAAACTAATTTTTTCCAGTTTTCATTGGAATGTGTTAAATATTTTATAAAGTTAGTATAAAAATGATTATGTCCATGAGTCATTGCAAAGAACTATATGTCAGATCAAACTTTAGTTATAGACAAAGGCCAGCATCGAAATTTGTAATATGTTACATTTTTATTGCTGGCTCTGGTTTTTCTGATATGTATCTATATCTACGTATGTATAAAATATATAATCTTTTAAAAAGATTTAAACTTTTTAAAAGTATTTTTTTTTCTATTCCAGGTACAACAGAATATCTCGGGAATGGACTCAGAAGTATGCCATGTGATGCTACCTTAAGTCAGAATAACCTGCATTATAGCTGGAATAAACTTTAAATTACTGTTCTTTTTTGATTTTCTTATCCGGCTGCTCCCCTATCAGACCTCATCTATTTTTTTTTTAAAATTTACCTCTATCCATTCATGCACATGCTCATCTGAGAAGACTTTAGCTCTTCCAGCTTTGGACAATAACTGCTTTTTAGAATTTGTAAAGTAGTTATACAAGAACAATTGCCCAAGATTCAGAATTCTTTAAATGGAGCATGTGTGTTGTGGCCAATGTCTTCACTCTAACTTGGTTATGAGATTGAAATCATTTCTCACTGCTCTAACAGTCCTTCTGAAGAAATCACCCAAAGGGAGGGGAGATGGATGTTCAGTTTGCTCACATCACAGGAAATAGCATTGCTGTAGCATCATCCATCTTGTTTTAAAACCTTCCAGTGTTAGAGACTGAGGTTTCATGACATACTTGTGCTCATAACTGGTATGGTTGGAGAATTGGTACAGAACTTGTAGCATCATCAGAACAGAACACGTGATGTATCTTATGCATGTCAATAAAGGAATGACCAGTTCTTGTTCTACAGAGAATGGAGATTGGAAGTCCAACATCCCTTGTATTCCAAAATAGGGTCTCGGAACATTTTTGTAATTCTCATTTAAATTTTGTTAGGATGCTTGGAGCTATTAGTTAATCTATCTTCCACAGCAGTTTAATATAGCACTGAATAAATGATGCAAGTTGTCAATGGATGAATGATCAACTAATAGCTCTCCTAGTAATTGATTTTATTTTCTTCAATAAAGTTACATAAACCAATGAGTTAGCTGCCTGAATTAATCAGTATGGGAAACAAAGTCTTTTGTAAAAGCAAAGGTGGTTTTTGTATATACTTGTTGGGATTTGCCTCATTGTTTGACATCAAATAATGATGTGAAGTTAGTAGAGTGAACCTTTTGCCATGTTCAGTTATAATACTTGGTCTGTGTTCAGGTTGACACATTGATCAGCCCTGGAATATGCAGAATTAATAAGCTAACCTAGTAGTGTAGACTTTAGTGAGCTACACAAGGTCCTGGGAACCAAGTTTTCAATTACAGACTTGGAACTCAGATGATATATGTACAGGTGTATTGTGGAGACTTCACCAAATGCACCCAGCTTGCTAACTGAGAAGCATTTCTTCGCCTTGTATACTTGACAGCTGAAAGATCTTTTTGTGGGAGTAAAGAGGCAAAATTGCAAAATAAAGTACTGTTTTGATGTGGGAATTGTCATGAGGTTGTGTTGAAGTGAGTTTTCAATGTGGGATGTTTGCTGTCCAAAGGATTATCATGCTACCACCTATATTAACAAACATTTTTTGCTGCAAGGATCACTATTTTAGGGTGACTAAAAATTAATAAAGTCATTGCTACAGTATTTTTCTGTTTTGAGAAGCACTGACTTGTGCCACTAATTCTTGTTTGATAATGATGGATTTTATCCTTTCTGCATCATAATTTCGTCTCCATCCAAGTCTATAGTTCAGTATTTTCTAGTCCTGTGCTATGGGTTTGTGCTTCTGCCACGTCTACTTCCATCTTTAGCACTGCTGTGTGCATCCTAATGCTTTTTCCTCAACATAATTTTGGAAATATTGTAAAATAAAAGTAGTCTGTACATTTTATGAAAGGGGAACAGGTTTGGCCATGATTTGTTTCAACTTTTTTTTTTTAATACATTTTGGTGAGTTCAGTTTTGTCAGTATTGTACACCAAATTCCGCTCAAGTGCTTTGGATGTATTACGGTGTTAGTAAAAGCAACTTTACAGGGTGAAGAAAGATTACTTGAAGAATCAGGGCCAACAATTAAAATGAGGCTCCTTTGTTCAGTTTGCAATAAAATCCTTAATTATAGGGAACGTGGCATTTTTACTAAAATGTTACTAAGGTAGCATTCTTCAACTTGATGCCCATGCCCTTTAGATATGTTGAGATTATAGTTCCCAATGATACAGGCTGACTTCTAATATAACACTGATTGTTTGCAAACTTAAACACATAAGATTTGATTGTCATGTAGTTGTAATTACAGAAGAATTCACCTTTCCTGAAGCATCTTAAATGGCATGCTATATAAGCCTCTTTTCCCCTCATGCTTGACAAAGTAACAAAACTCATAGGTTGAATAAACAACATTAACAGGTTACAATTGATTATTCTGCTGTGTAGTCTTACCCATAAACCATGGGTTCAGACTTCATAAAGATTAGGAACATGCGTGGATTAGATTTTCTGTATAAATGCCTATTTCAGAATTTACTGCTTCCCTACACCCAGTTTATAATTCCAAGACCTTTGTACTTCTTAACATTTATGTTTGCCTTGGAAAAGTTTACTTACTTAGCCTTGGAAAAAGATTGATTTGATTCTATCCTATCAGAGTGTTTAATAAATATAAGGAGTGTCATGACATCTTCTTTTCATCATTGATCTATGCTTGGAGGATGGCAAAATAAGACTGCTATCCCCACATCATTTTGTCTACCAGTGCAATAGCGATCTCAGGTATGTTGAGGTCATGTAGATGTAGTTCTTTCTGCAGTACATCAAATGAGTTATCTGACTTTTTGGCATGGTCCTAATCAGTCTAGGAATCATGTTATAGTCCTAGTGTACTATATGTCAACCGGGCAAGCAAAAGAGAATTCCACTTTGCAGGGCAAATACAGATAATCATTTAGCAACCACAATTGGCATTGGCAACGTGGCCGTTAAGCAAAGCAGTCATCAAATGAAAACATGAGTGCTTATGATCTTTCTTCAGAATCCCCAAATACCAAAGTTTGCTTTAGAGATGGTTGTCACAGGAATTGGACATAAAGTTACTTTTTCATTACAGTCATAATTGAACAGTTGCTAAACAAGGACTAATATTTTAATTTTTTCCAGATGCTATCTTCTGTTTCTTCCTAGAAATAAGAAATAGATGAGCTGAAAATAGATTGAATCTTGGTCTTGAACCCTTTTTCTCACAACCTGTTGTGTGATCTTAACATTCATACATATACACGCACACCAGGGATTGTTATTAGCAGTAACAATACATTGGAGTTTTAACTAACTTAATCCTCTCATTTAAGATATTAGTGTAGGTCTTAATTCAGCTCATGTATTCCTTGCTCTCTATTTCCTAGAAATAACTTGGCAGAGTCAACTTTCTTTTTATAGATGAGGCTAAATTACCTTCAGGACCATGTTACATGCTTAAGTATTTTTCAGTAACTAAAAGAGCAGCTGTTTTGTCTTTATAATACTGGTTTGACTAGCTTTAAATTTAACTGCAGTATTGTGGTTTTATTGACTAACCTGTTAAGTGGCTCCAGAGCATTTCATAGTGATTGACCACTCTTATTTTTTGGCATTAGTCCTGAGCTGTGTATGTAGCCCTCCTGCAACTGTTCAGGTTTTTGTACTGATCAGAGAAGTTGCCTTACTGTGAAGAAACTGGTGCCAAGTTTTTGTTACATCCTTATGCTATTGAGTTAATGCTGGAGTAGTGAGAACTGCATTTATGGTAAAGCAACCACTGACCATGCCATTAGAAGGCCTATAAACCATCTTAGAGCAGGTCTGAGCCTTTGGGAGTAGACGGCATACAAATACATCTTGAAGTTGTCCTTGATTTTCCCAAGATGAATCATGACTTTGTTAGAATATTAACAATGTGGAATGTTCTGAAAGCAACTCCAACACATGATTTACCTTTCATTAAATGTCTACAATGCTTTTTTGGAAGAATTGGATCTCTTAAGCTTGGATAAATGCAACTGAGAATTACTCACTCCAAATTGGGTGTTGCTAAATCAAAGCTCCCAGTGGCCTTGGCTACTGTGGTCTATAGGAAGGGTGTTAGTAGTTATATAGGTGATTTACAGGTATTGCACCACTCTTCTATGTAACTGCACCAGGCAAGGAACATACTAAATGTAATCCAAGATAGAACCCAATTTAAGAACACTTGGATCAGTCATTTCATCCATGGAATTAAACTTTAGGCTTGTTTTAGAGCCTCAAGTGGAAAGGACAATGGTACTTTAACCTAATTAGAAAAGTATTTCTCTGAAGTTTAAAATTAAACTTGATTTTGTTCAAATTTTATGCTTCCAACAGTTATTTTTTAAATACCACTCTAATAGTGCAAAATGATATGGTTAAAATGATGTGGTAAAGATCTTTCTAAAACCCAACATGGCATAGGTCAGGATGACTTGATAGAGTTCTTTTCCCAAGAATACCCATCCCACTCATTCTAATAGGGTAGGCAGGTTTGGGTTTCTTCCCTTGATGTGCCACCAGGTGGGACCCAGAAGGGGTCCCATTTACATAACAGTGCCTGCCCTTTGGAATAATCCCACGTACATGCTTAGTTGGTCCTGACCCTGCCAGCCTTTAGAAAAACTTTGCAGTTCTCCCCCAGGTCTTGGGTGATCAATGTGCCCACTGGGAGTGTGTGTGAAAGTGACCTAGTTTGGCTATTATTATTTACTATTTTTATTTTGGTTTCTCTCTCAACAGATTTGGGAGATTTGCTCAGTACATTAAAAAGCCATACTATGAACTACATTTTCACTTAGGGTTCTTCAAATTTCTGGAAAGCAACAGCATTTGGACCATGTACTGACCATGAGCTGTCAATCAAGTTGTGAAATGAGAAGATATGTGATCAATCTGAATCACGGGTTACTTTTCTCAATATATAGAGCATGCCAAAAGATAGACCCCCCCATAGACAACTTATATTAATTGCATTAAATGTTCCAATTGGCCACCATTTTCCTTTCAACACTTGTTTTCTTGACACATCCTTCGAATATTCTAAATACATTTCATATGGGAAAAACTTATGATTGGCCTATGGGGGCTGAGTTTTGTACACTATATATGGTATATGAAATCAATTTATAGTACTCTGAAAACGACACATACTTAATAGGATTTTTGTTAGTTTTGGTTTGGTCCATTTTAAACAAGGACAACATTAGTTGGCCGTCTGTTTTTAAAAAGTCTGATAGCAGTGAACAATGGGTAGGCATGGCAGTCACATCCAATCACGTGTATTTAGGATGTGTTGAAAATTTTTATCCCGAGTACCTCACAAATTGAACAAATAAAATATTAGATAATTGGAATTTTAATAATTAGGATTGGAACACAAACAGAAATTGGAATTTTGTGCCAAGAAAAATATGAAAAACTACCAAGGTAATCCTATAAATCTAGAAGCAGACTTTTTTTGTCCTGCAGATTTTAATCTTTCACTTCTTCATAAAAACCTTTTTTTTTTCAGAAACAGCCCAAGTCACTTCCTGTTTTAATAGCAATAAACTGTATAAGTGGTTGTTTTTTCATTAGCTTTGTTTTTCCATTAAAAGCACAACAGTGTTGGTATGTGCTCCTTTGATGCATTTTCCTAGATTATTACCATTGAAATTAAATGGAAAATAAAACCTTGATGATAATTATTGGCTTTAAAGATTATGGAAGGATCATACAGATTTTCATGGGAACTCTGAAATGTGAAAACAATTCTGATTAACAGTATACAAACGGAAACCTTGACTTGCACATGAACAGTCCATCTAAGCAGCTTCTTAAAATTTCAGGAATGCTATAGTTGCACAAGTAAATTTCAGACTATTTAAGCTGGTGTTATTTCATACATGTATGAAGAATGACATAAAACAGTATTGGTTTAATAAATATGACATTTCAGGTATTTCAGATCAATTTACAATATAAATGAAACTCTTTCAAATACATAAAATAATATTAAATAAAATCCAATCATATCTTAAAATTATAAAGTTTGTAAAACACAGTCCTGAGCTATAAGTCATTTAAAAGATCTCTATGAATACAAATTTCTTTATGGGAACCAAAGAGATCATAGGGTGCATGCAAGTAATGTCTCCAGAGCTTCTGCATAACAAGCACCACTACCAAAAGTCTCTTTGATAGCTACTTCCTATCCAAAACTCAAAGTAAGCCTTCTGAAGATCTTGAAAGTTTGATGATATAGATTAGACTGAAAAAAAAAACGGGATATGTTTGTAGTCATATTCCACCCTTGGTAAGTTTGCTATCTGGTCAGAATGTTTAAGGAATGAGTTACTTTGTCCTCATAATGTCTGGCAAGAAGACTTAACATCTTGAGATGTGTTTTTTTTTCTGTATTTCAGATAATTTCTTGCAAGAAACATTTGAGTAGATATGCTTAAGAAGACACAGTAAAGTGCTTCTCAATTTGCACATGACTTTAATCATGATTTGCTAAGCTGAATCAACAATCATTAAGCTATAGATATAGCAGCTGGATTAATACACCATGCATAATGGTGTATTAGCATAATGTTAATATGCAGTTTAAGATGTCTACA